ACTTTCAAAAGAAGAAGATATCCTCCTTCCTTGGTCGCACCACGCATGATTTTCTGCAATAATAACATCAAAACGACGAGCATGCATTTTAACAAAGTCTGATTTTTTAATGCTATCGTCAAATATAGAATACTTTTAATGCTAGAAAAAAAGAATACATGATTATCAAAGAAATTTTTTATTTTTGAATAAAAAAAATCCGAATAAAAACGTATGTTTAAAATCAACTATGAATAAAAAAAACGCCTGAAACAAGTTGTTTACAATCTCATTGATTCACTCATTGTATTAGTTAATTCATGATGATAATGATTATGTTCATCATGTGTTGATGTATTATGTAAACAACGATCAAAATTTGCATCATGTATTTGATTCAATGATATTAAAGATTTATATTGATAAAATGAAAAATCTTCAACTGTTGTATGAAGAGGTCCTACAATTGAAAAAAAAAATAAATAAATAAATAACAAAGATAAATTTTTTTTTTTTGAGAAAGCAAAACCTTTTCCAATTGTTTTACAATGTTCATTAAATAAACTTAAAACTTTATCATGTCGATATTCAAGAAATGTTCGAATATCATCAAGTGAAAAATCTTTTTCAGATGTATAATAAATTGATGTAAGAGCTGGTGCAAGAAATGGCCATTTAGCACGAAGATTAATTAATTCATCATACATTCGATATTTATCTCCACTTGAAAAAAAACTTTTTTCCCATTCTGGTTGTTCATTTATTGTTGGTAAATTTGATTTTGATTCTTCATCATTATCATCATTATTTTGTCTATCATCAAACATATTTGATGCATATTTTGTACGTAATTCAATAATACGTTTAGCTGAAAGAAATTGTTCAGCTAAAAGTGATGTTTTTAATTCAGATGCATCATTATCAAATGTATTTAATGCATCAACTAAACGTGATAATTTCATTTGAGCACGATCATCCATATATTGTAAAACATTTTGATTAGCTTCATTTATTCGTCTTATAATATCACGCTGCATAGCCTCAGCTTTTGCACGTGCATCAGCACGTTGTCTTTCAATAAATGAACGTACTTCTATTTGACTTTGTTGACGATTCATATCCATCTGTATTGTAAAATAAATGAAATTAAATAGTTGTTTTTAAATTAAAAATTATTCTTTTTTTTACTTGTTTAGCAATATCACTCATTTCTTGTAAAACATATCGTTTATGTACTCGAACACACATATCACAATAAGCTTTATGACAATGTTTACATCGATGTCTTGCAAGTGAAGTACATGATGGTTCAACGCATATTTGGCCATCAAGTGATAAACGTTGAATTGGATGATCGGACATTGATTCTAAAGAAATTACAAGTTTTTTTTTTTTTTTTGAAAATTTATAAAAGATAATAAAATTCTTACCTAACGTTAGTATATATGTATGTGTGTGTGTAATAAAACTATGTAATGATAACGGTATTAACTGAATGCAATAAATGCACTTCTCTTGTTTGTTTTTCTTTCCTATGTCGTCGATCGAGGTAGAGATATACATATATATGTGCATTGTATAATAGACGAGCGCAAACGTCGATCCATGACCATATCTAGACTAGTCTGTTCTGTTGATATTCAGAGAGATGACGCACTGATCGTGATGAATATTTGCAAGATCTCTTTTCGAGTTTAATATATGAATAGTATAACGAACTACGTAGTTTTTCTTTGGTCATATGGACTAACATGAATATTGACCAATGCGTCGTATAAACTAGGCATTTTTTTATAAGCTAAAAAAAAGATTTGACTAGAACATTCATTCAAACCAAAGTAAATAATGATTGGAAACATTTGTTTGATGATTGAATATTTATGTAACAAGAATTGTTGAGATCAATTTCAAAAAACATCGAGCATATCTAACAGATAAGAACATTATTGAGAACTCTCAATTCAATAAAACTCACATTCATTTGATTTCTACATCTTTTATCATCAAAAAAGAAAAAAGAAATCAATGTTATATATATTTACAAGAAACCCATCACTAATAATATAATTTATTAATAAAACTTTTTAAAATATATATATATTCGTAACAATAGATGTTGAACAAACATTATTGCAATTCCAAAGATCAGAACGATTTCTTAACTAGTTTGGGGTTTTTAAATCAATTAAAGTCAAAAATACACCAATACCTGTAATTATAATAATCGTAGCTAATATAACAGATTCAAGCAGTTTCATTCTATATATATATATATAACGAATACAAAATAGGATATCAATACGAATAAGATAGATATATTAATGTAAAGTTTAGTGTATGTACAAATACATGTATTTATAACAATAAAATGTTACAAATACGATTGCTATATAATAGAAAGAAAGAACAATTATGATATATATTTATTTAACATCAAACACCTTATAGAAAAAATACATTTGATTTACATAGAAATTTTTTCTTTCTATAAAATTAATCATCTTCAAGTCTAGTAAATGATTAGTAATAACAAGCATGATATTATTCTTAAATCTTATAGATATGTACTCATACTATTAATCAAAATCGTATTCAGTTTGACATTTTTTATGTCATTCAAAGGTCAAAGAATATCTTTCAATCAATCGTAGTAATAATAGAATATTTTTTTAAAAACTTTTGTTCTCCGCTAATTATAAATCCAATTCAATGGAAATTAAAATGAAAAAAAGAACAATTATTTCATTGTTGTCTCTTATCATCAAGATTGGAATAATATAATGCAAATGCGATCAAATAACGTTTGTATGCTTCTATCTATATAGTATATAGATGTATAAATCAAAACGATATCAAGTACGAGCTTGGTAACAGTTTTTAATTAGTAAACTTTCGATACATATGAAACGACTGATATAATTTATAGTAAAACCTCTCTAATGTAGGCGCAATCGAGACGGACCAAAAGTGTTCACTTTATAAAGATGCTTATTATTAGGAGATTTTCAGTTTACTTTTTGCAACCTATCAGTATTCAGTTGCAATTCCTTGTCGGTTACGCAAAGTGATCTTGTTCTTCTTTCCAAATTCAACTTTTATAAATAGAGATAAATCAATACTTGTTGACATAAGTCGATGTCATTAGCTGTTAACACAAAAAACGACGAGGCCGTTACACCTAGCAATGTTGCTGCTGTCTAAAATTGCCTTTTTTATCTTATAAATATGCATGGATAGTCCATTGCCTATTCCTTGGTATCCCATGATTGTCTATTATGACACAATACACATAATATCATTTTTTTTTGGTCCTACGAGTGTGTGATAGAACATATGTCGTCGGTAGTAGAGAGGTTGTTATTACTTATGATATCAGAAATAAGTCTCTACTGCTCAGTATTAGAAGATGTTCAATATCGATAAGAAGTTGATTATTTGCTAGATACTTATTGATATTATAGTAAAGTTTTTTCTAAAAACAGTTACAGAATGAATTGATTGTAAATTATATATATGAATTATTTATAGACAACTCCAAAAACATGATTTGTATCATATGTTGATGAAATGAATGTTCAAGAAATAAAAAATATCATAGATATCAGATTAATTAAACATATATTGTTTAAAGCATCATTGAAACATCAAGGTAATAGTTTAAAAAAGTCTATCCAGTTTTAGATCTATCGATCAATAGATTTTCAATTTTCTAAATAAAATCAGTTGATTTTTGAACCAAACGATAAATCCAATTTGTTTATTAATAACATTCAAAATTCTTTCATTTTTCTTTTTGAAAGACATTTGTATTATAATCGTTTTCCAATTACATCTTTATATAATATCAATTATGCATTCCATAATGTATATGTTTATTCAAATAACAATAAAACAAAAAACAAAAGAGTAAACATAAACAAAAATATATCGTTAAGAATTTTCCAATTCTTGAAATCTAAATTAAAGAATACAAATAAACAACAATATCTATCAATCTATAAACATAAGATACATACGAACATTTTGGACATAAATAGAAAACAGTTTGTCCTTCTACAATACAAAGAAAATCACAATCGTCATTATATGAAAGAGTAAACTTCCATTTAGCAAAAAATAAAATACATTACCATCTGCTGAACGTAATTGTCTAGTAGTAAATGACATTTCATCATGTCCACAACGAGGACATTTTCGTTGAATCTAAATCAATATTTAGATATAAATATCATCGATAATAATAATCATCAACAAACATACTAATGTGCCTTCGATAGTTTCATTATTTTCCAATGTTTTTTTATCAACTTCAACATTATGAAAATTAACATGAACAGTTGATTGTGTTCCATGAAATACTATTAAATGAAAATATCTTTGCTCTGAATATGAATATTCATACAAACCTGATATATCTTGAGTTTTTTTGCATAATAAACATTGAATAATTGATGAACCATCAGGCAAAGGTAATATTGTTCCACATGCTGGACAAAAATCTTGATCAAATGTATTACTCATCTAATTAAATAAAACGTCTCCTAGTATATTTTTTTTTCATGATCTATTTTTATAAGATAATCTTAAATTTGAATCAAAGTTTTATTTTTTAAGAAAAAAATAACATCACACAGACACACACACACACATATATAGAAGTGTAACTTATGAACGAAAAAATCGTTTAACAGTTTGTCTTGCTGATTTTTTTGTTCCACCTTGTTTTGAATCAATATTACCAGTTAAAATATTCGATGAAGTTTGTAACATATTTAAATTATTATTATTTTCATTACCATCCCTTCTTCCACTACCACCACCCGAAGCTTGTCCTTGTAAATCAATAATTTTAATCATTGATAACATTTCTTTATCATATTTATCTTGTTCATCTATAGTTTTTTTCTTTTGTTCATTAGCTTTCATAGCTTCATATTTTAAAACATGTAATAATGCTGAACAATTTTTACACCATTTATCAAGTACATCTTCCATACGATTAAATGCTACTGAATTAACATCACGTGCTATTGCATATTCAACATTTAATCGATTATTTAATTGATCTAATTTTCCACGTATAACTTGTGCATATATTCCATCAATAATTAAATCTTCAAGTTCACGTACACTTTCAATTTGAAGTTCTTTTAATAAAAGTGTATAAGGTAATATTCGTGCATGTACAGCAAGTGATGCTAATGTTAATAATTGTAATTTTCGTCGTGCTAATGGAGATAATGAAATAAAACGTGTACGATCAGATTCATAATCTGATAATGTGCCATAAGCAAATAATTCTAATGTTGATAAAATTTGTAAATGATCTTGTTTAAGTGCATTTACAAGTGAATCCAAACGAAGAAATTCATCAAAACCGAATATATCCGGATGTTCAAGAACGCGTGTAACTAAATCAACAGCAGCTAAACCACGTACTGATTTAGCTAATAAAAGAAATTGTTGAGCGGCCTGTGAGGACATCTGAAATTTATATAGAGGACTATGATAGAACGAAAAAGAGAGAAAAAAGAAAGAAAGAAAGAAAGAAAAATTCATAGTATATTCTTTTATATTATATACAAATGGCCGAGTTACATACGACTGCTATTTTACGAAATACTGATCATAGTTATATTCAAACTGAAGATGATAATTCAACAATACGACAAGTACTCGCTGATATTGAACGTCTCATGAATATGCTATGTAATGAACTTGATCAAAATAAATCTTCTATATCATCAAATTTAATTAATTATTCACCACAACAACAACTAAAAATTACTTCATCATTATGTTATCCAACATCATCTCCAACGATAACAAGTGTTACAATAACTGATGATAATCATCGACTTATTGAACATCTTCGTCATCGTATAGCTCGATTAGAACATGAACGAAATGTACTTCTTACATCATATCAATTACTTATTAAATTGCTTAAATAAATCAAACAAAAGACAATATTTATATATATATATATGTATAGACAAAGACAATATTTTAAACGAATTTCTTTTTTTTTCTTTAAATATATTTTACAAAAATACATATTTAAGCATGACGAATTTTCCAATTTCTTGAACCATGAAGATTCTTACGAAATTGATCGAATACAAGATCATCAGTAGCCGTTTCAGATAAAGGCTTTTCTGGTGCTGAAGTTGGTCTAGGATCTGAAAAAAAAAAGAAATTTACATGTATGAAAATGTTAATATGTAATGAATAATTTTCTCATAGCAAATGAAATACCAGTCGGCAGTTCATCGAATACTTATTAAGAAAAAATATAATCCATCAAAAATTAGGACTTGAAGATGAATTCTAGCATATCTTCTGCTAATTAATCATGAATATTTGTTTCTAACAATTCTACACAATACACACAACTCGTCATCCACATTCAGCACTTTGTTTCCAGAGATCAAAACATACTAATATATGATCAAAGCAATTACTGAATGAGGTGCATCAATCTGTAGCTGTATTGAGAAATAACAATGTGAAATGAATACCGAAAAAATTTGATGATTAAAAATACTGTCATCCCGAAGTTTCTATAAGCTTCCTTACGGTAACTTTTGAAAATTTTATAATAAAATTAAATAGAGTAACTCAGAGCTCCTAATGACCTAGATTAATCGAATTTTGTGATCGAGCATCCATGTAAAAAAAAAAAGACCCAAAACAAATCTAATTTTCATTAAATTTTATTTCTGATAAAAGAATCGGTTCAAGTAATACTTTTAATTGGTTTCAATAACAATGATTATAAAACACTTTTTTTTTCTCGAGTTTTAGCTTCTATTTGAACGGATACTAAATCTAATACTAGATCAATCTGTAACACATTTTACACTTCGATATAGGTATTTCAATTTAAATTTATTTAAATAGCACAAAATATCGGATTAATAAACTTTAATCAATAAAAACTGATTATTTATAGATTAATTTTGAATGAACTAAAATTAATTGAAAATTGAATAATCTGTTTAAAATCAGATTATCATTTTAATCGATTTTTTATATAGGTGACGAGCTTTGATTCACGGATTGATGATAGGTCAGAAACAGAATCTTGACTAAAAGACAAAATTCTCTAGGTGTCACGTAGTACCACTGTAAAATTTCTTTCTTCGAAAAACATTCATTGATTTAAACATTTCTTTAACGAAGAGTAAGTAATTATACAAAGCAGAACAAACATGAAATTCGATTAGTTTAAGCATATCATTAGTTTAATTCGTCGAATAGAATCTGTCTGTCGTAAATTGATATGTAGGCGTTTTGTGTAGCAAATCATTAATACTAATTTATTTTTCTATTTAAGTTGAAAAAACTTTGTTTTTATTCAACAAAACTAGACGGACGGATCATGGACTAGGCCATCCAGAACTCTAGATTAACATGAGCTATATCTACTTCGACATTCAATCTTCATCAACATGTCATTGTTTGCATTTTTATATACGATAAATAAGATGATAACGATTATCTTACCTCTTAATAAAGTTGGATGTTTTTCTTTATTTCCAACAACTGGTTGTGGTTTAACAATATCTTTTATTTGATTTTGTTTTAATCTTTTTGCGTTTAAAATTTCCATTCCATCGGTATTAACTAAAAAAACATTTTTTTTAAAATTATAATCATTATATAAAATCTTAACATACATCGTTTATGTTGTACAAAACTAACTGAAGCGGTTTTTGTTGGTGTTGGCGGTATAACAGTTGTACTAGCAGCTAATAAACTAATTGGTGCTGTTGATTGTGAAATAATTGTTGATATTTTTTTTTCTGCACCTTTTTTTTCACATAAGGTTTGTAATAGTTTTCGTTTAGCTTTATCTGTTTCTTCAATATTACGAATTTTTTCTCTAAGAGAAAAAAAATTCATAACAATAAATAATACAAAAAAAAGAATGAAATAATTAAACATACTCAACACCAATATCAACTTCAGGTATTCCACTTAACATTTGTTCTGAAAGCATTTCTTCCGATGCTTGTGTTGAATGATCTGTAATTAAATGTTTACTAACATGAAATAGAGTATCTTCAGGTTTTTTTAATGTAGCAAAAACAGCTTTTAATTCATCATTAGATGATAAATTTGATGTTGTAGTTGTTGATGATGATGATTTTTGTTGGATTTTAACAAGTTGTTCTTCAATATAACGTTGCATTTCAGTATCTTCATCACGTGTATTTGTTTCTCGAGCAAAATTATTATTGATTGTACTTATATCTTTTGATGAACGTCCACGTTGCTGTTGTTGTTGCTGTTTAATTGTATTCATTTCAATAAGACCACCAGATTTTAATTTAAATGGATCATTTGGCTGTAGAGGAAAAAAAACAAACGTATTAATTCTATATGATATGATAATATACATGCATCAATTTTTCTGGAAGTAATTGATGGATTTGTTTGTTTGCCGAGAGCAAGTTCTTCAGCAGAAAGACCTTTTTTACGTTGACGAAGTTTTTGAATTAATTTAAGATCTTCAATTAATGTTCTAAAGCAGAAGAGAAAGAAAAACAATAAATACGAAGGAAACCAAATGATATTTACATACCCACTATCAGAACCATCATTTGAATTTTGTTCATTACTATCTTCATTAACTGGTTGACTATCATCTTCATCCTCACTATATTGTCGTCGACGAATATGTGTTCGTTTCGACATAATTTTATTTATATATAGAATCTAATGGAGACAAAAAAAAACAGAATAAAGATATACGATGAAATTAATAAGGATACGTAAAATGAAATAAATACATACATAAGAACAAACAACTTCGTTGGCTAATTATTTCAACCAATCATAAGCATTTTCAATGACATGAAAAACAATTGTGAATGACACTAGTGTACGGTCAATAGAGGAAAGAATGCAATCTTACAAATAGAAACTTTCCTATGCAATGCTTTCATACATAGTTTATTGCCGACATGAGAAATTAGACGATATAAAACTAATAAGACATACCCAGGTCGAACAAGCACGGTCGTAAACGATCGTATACGGATAAATACGACCAAATACATGATTCAGTATTACGATCGTAAATCTCCGTGTCGTATACGGAGTAATACGACAATATACGGAGAAAAATACGGTCGTTTACGAAGTCCGTAATCGTCGACCTCGGTAGATCAATGTATGTTTGTCTTCTTTCAGATTCCTCCAAAAAAACCTTCTCTTCCGTCAGAATTATCGCAGTCAGGATGAATGCATGGGAGGACACCTTAAGGTTAAATCTTTCGGAAACAGTATCCCAGGTCCAATAAAACGGCGTCGTAAACGGCCTGAAACGGCTATAAAACGGCGATTAACGATGTAAAACGTCGATAAACGGCACCGTAATCCGTCATACCAGATTACGGAAGCAAAACCGGAAAAAAACGACCGCCGTTTTCTAGCAATAGACGGTGGTCGTAATACGGTATGACGGATTACGGCGAAATAAGGCCAAAATTACTGCAGTAATTCGCCGTTTTATAGTCGTTTCAGGCCGGATACGACGCCATTTCTGACGGCCGGAATGATCCACCTGGGATAATTCTTTTATTTGGTACGTCGTTTTTTTCAAATATTTTCAATCATTCTCGTTTCTTTCTGCTTGAAAAATATACTTTTTTGATTGTATATCCCAGAATTATTGAGGAAGATTTCATTGTAGTTAATCGCTTCTTGTTCAGTTTGAAAGACAGAAATGGGCAGACCAAGTCAAGCCTAGTCAAAACTCAATTTCAAGTAATTTGTTTGAAATGTTCCATTTTTCGTGAAAAGCTAAAAAATCCCAAATCATTGGAAAATGTGATGACAAATACAAGTGACGATCTGTAAAATACGCAAATACCTACGAACACCAATTCCGAACAGCTCTCAAAGTCGATTCGAATCACGGATGTCAAAATTTTCCTACGAATACGACAAATCTGCTTATGAAAGTCTACGAACACTAGTTATTTGAATAGATATCTCTTGCAAGCATAGTGCACAAGCTGTTTGCGATATTCCTACGAAACAAAATACATTAAAAAAAAGTCACCCTAAGGCCTATTCCATGAACTTTCTACTACAAAAAATATAATTGTCTTTAAATCGATCGAAAGCTATCTTATCTTGTAGAGCACAATGACTTGTATCTACAATGAAGAAAATCACTCTTCAAGATCGTTGTGTTACGGAGATATAGGGCGCATAAGTTTCACTGAAATTTGCGAAATGTTCGAAAAAAACCAAAAATTTGAAAATTCACTAAACTTTGTGGTTTTCAGAATTTCACTATTGTATGGACGAAAATATCTTCTGATTACATATTCTTGTTTGGCAAGATCTGATGCATTCGTCCACATATTGTCTTTTAATTTTCATTGATTTAGTAAAAATTTATCCCGGATCATATTAGTAACCTATGGTAAACAGTAATGTGTTAAGGTCAGTCTCTAAAAAGTCTCGTAAAATATATTCCATAGTATGATTTTTGAGTATGTTTTATAGGACAGACTTTGTTCTATTAAATTCTATATTTGAAATTTTATCCCAACTCGAAATGACCGAAAAATATGCATCTACACTATTTAGGTAATCAAGGATCAATACTCGGAGACGGTTATTTGTCTAATCTTATTTAATTGAGAAAGTAACGATCGTTTGATTTGAATATTTCAGCATTTGTAGAGGCTGTTATTATCAGTCTTTCTTAGAAGTTTTAGCTTTCTATGTCAAATTGTCGCTATATTTTGATATTCGATCAGCTATAGGTCACATATGATCTGTATGAGTGGTAAGTGACAGACAAAAATTAATGATGTATGAAAGAATATCTGTAAAGCTTAATAGTCAGAATCTTTTCGCACCAAAACCCATCGTTTATATCTGTACAAAAGCGGAGTAAAGAAATTAGCTACTAAAAAGATAGGGCATAGCGTTTATTCACGGTACTAGAAAAGCGATTTGTTTCTAATTTCGAACAAAACTTGTCATTACAGTATGTCCCAAAAATCACTGTATACATTTTCATGCATTTGAAAATTACTTTTCATTATTCTTTGTGTTTTGTAATAAATTTTTATTTACCTGTTAGATCCAGCAAGTAGACTGCACAGATTGTACTCCTGGAATAGCTAAAAATTCTAAAATTTTCAATGTGAATTGGACTAAAGATTCTCCGATTTGTACACAAATTTACATTTATGATATGACGAGTGGCAATATACCCACATTTGACTTACCTTTATCATAGTCTTATCGATTTTTATTCTTCACCTATGTCAAGAATCACAAGCGACAAACTATGTGTGGGTGTGGGGTGTGAGTGAACAGAAGATCAACACCCATACCCATACCTACATGCACATGCATATGACACCCAAATTCACCTATGAGACAAGAACTATCGTGAAACAAATTTCAAAATTAATGAAGAACATGACTGTATAATTGAAGATTTTTCATCTATTCATCTGAATTCAATGCATCGTAATGATATTTCTCAAGATCTCGTGTTTCATTATTAAGAAAAAATAAAAAATATTCTTTTAATTACGGAACTTAATACTCATGGATATGGTTATCAACATCTTATTCACGATTCGATTCGAGATAAGATCTTCACGACATTTTCTTATCGTCCATTTGATACAAAGCTGCAAAAATGAATACAGAAAAATTATCCTACGTACGGTAATTAATCTTATCAAGTGAAAATTCTTTTACTGAACGAACATCTATAGGAAGCAAGTAAAAACAAACTATTACACTGTTTTTGCAATGACAGTACTAAAATTAAAAAATTTTATACATATTTTCGTGGTTGTTCTGAATATGCTGCTCATTCAATATGTCTTAATGATCTTGAGTGTGAATATGAGTGTGGACGTTACTGAAGAGCAGAGAGAACACCAAAACCAAAATGGCATCTTCTAAACCAGCGTCCCCATCCAAACGCTCTCGGCACATTTTTAACATTAGTGAATTAGAATTCTCGGAGAAACACATAAAAGAAATCATCTGTAAAATTTGATGCCAACCTGTTCATAAGGCTACTCAGTCTTTTTCTATTTTCAAATAGGTTGTAGTCAGTGGACACCGGAGGAAAACTATAAGTCACGTGTGTGCAAAATGCGTGTTGTCACATTGAAATGATCAATAATCCAATATTCTTTCTTACTTTTGCAACTCTGAAGTCTCCTAAATGTATTGGTCATTCAGATGAGCTTTTATTTTTGAAAAGAAAACAACAGTAAACTTACATCTATATCCATGTTAAAATGAAGTCCTATATGTAATGACAATAAAAAAAATAAAAAGACTTCTACTTGTCAGATCAATAACACAATGCGCACGGCGAATTTTTCTTCGCAAGGATATTGTAGAGTAGATCCAGTCAATAGATTGAGTCTCAAGTTCAACTCATGCCACCAGCACTAGTGGTTATCTGTCGTTTTCTTTTTCTTGAACGCATCTTTGCACTTCTCGGACAGCCATTTTTCGAAAGCTTCGCATGCATCTTTTTTCTTTTGCTGTTGTCTTTCTGTATCTTGTTTTATCTTTTCTAACTCTGCCCTCTGCGCTTCTCGACGAGCGGCAATCAGTTGTTGATCCTTGACCTCTTTCCATTCTTCAAATGCACGAGTTGCTTCTTCACTGGATTGTTGTTTGGTCGTTTTCGGTTGATCGGTGGCTGAAGTATTCCCAGGTCGAACATGCACGCTCGTAAACGGTCGTTTACGGAGAAAAACAGAGATATACGGAGGTCGTGCACGGCTTCCGTATACGATGCGCGTATACGGAGCAATACGGTGAGAAACGGATTCCGTAAACGGAGATCGTACAAAAATACGGAGTGATTAAAAGATAAATATCTATGCTCCGTATACGGAGTTATACGACTGCCGTATACGGTCGTATATCACCGTACACGATCGTATCTGGGCGTATACAGCTACCATAACTGTACAATTCAATGAACAACACGTTTTGTGCAATTCACATATATTTTTCGAAGAAAAATAGTGAGTATAAGTTTAAATGGAAGATTTTCAGGCTCATCTTCCCTCGATTCCCTCATTACAGGCCTTAGCAGCCGCGGTCGAAGGTTAAAGAGCGCTGGACACAAATTCTGCCATAGTAACCGACATACAACAAGCATCAGACTCATTTCCCATGATTCTTTAGCAACGGTAAAGGGCGCTTAACGGTGTTAACAAACACGGCTCAGATTGTGCTAGAACATTTCAAAGCTTTCCTTGAAATTTAAATGGTTGGACTATGTTTTTGAATGCTATATATAGTACGATTTCTGATTTTTGCTCAAATTAATGAGTATATGATACATATAAAAGATGGATGATAACTGGTGATGTATTGATTTACTACGATCGTCATATGAGCAACACAAAGTATTAATTGATCAAATTCTAATTTGAGAGAACCATCAAAACCAGTACTTGATAAGTTTATCAAGGTCCATAGTAGTGCGTTGGGGCCTGCCGCAGATACAATGAAGATGTACAACCGGCTAATTTCTTAAGCAAATCATTGGTTAGAACAAGAACAAAAATAATAGTAATAATAATAGTAAATTAGGAAAGATGAAATTAAAAAAAAATAAATCACAAGCGAATGACAACAACGCAAATAAATAATGAAGCGCCAGTAAAAAAAAATAAGAG